TCTAAATACGCTGCTTTGAATCGATCGATGCTGGTGCTATCGTTGGTTCCGTTCTTATCGATTATATAGTACTCCGGTTCGCGTTGAAGAACTTTGAAAGGTCCTTCGTATACTGGCTCGAGAGGTTGTTGATGTGAGTCTCGACGTACAAAAGCGTTTGTACTACATCGTAAGTCAGGTTGAACGAAAACATCAGTTGATTGCGATTGAGTGGAAACAGGTTTAACTGAACGCATTGCGTTTGTAAGCCTGTTCGCGTAGGAGGTTAGATCCATGTTCATCGAAGAGAATGAAGGATCCACGAATTCTCCTGGAAGTCGAAGGTTCGTACCATAAACGAGTTGAGACGCAGTGCATCCAATGTCAGCTTTCGCTGCATTGCGAATACCTAGTAAGACGAGTGGAAGTGCGTCAGTCCACTGAGAAATGTTTGAGGCTGATAGTGACGCTTTTAGTTGTCGATGAAAGCGTTCTCTAACTCGTTGGTAGGCTTTCTGTCGAGGTATTATAAATGCAGGAGTCGTGTCGTGCGATTGTACTGAGGGAAAGTCGACTTGAATAGAATTTTCTTCTAACTACGTTGCGTCGATAATGTTTCGGCACGATTGGGTGATCCCTATCTGTAGATGTGTCACAAAGTAAGGTTTCCTTATATGTTTTCATCTTTTTGATGTGCGGCTTAAGGTTTGTTCACGATAATTAGTGCTGAAGATCAGTGTCTTCTTTCTGAAGCTGGGCGAGTTTTAGAAGGTCAATTCCTTGGAAACTGTCCAAGGAAGATATTCGAGATAAGGCGTCTGCGACTACATTGTTTGCTCCAGAAATGTGTCGAATACCTGAAGTAAACTGCGAAATGTACTCCAGTTGTCGAGACTCACGTGGTGAGTACTTGTCTGAAGAAGAGCTTAAGGAGAAATTAAGAGGTTTATGGTCGGTAAAAATGGTGAATTCACGGCCTTCGATATAGTGTTGAAAATGTCGGACAGCACAATGCATATCTAGGAGTTCCCTACCGAATATGCTGTACCTCGATTCAGTGTCTAGCAACCGTCTAGAGGAAAATGCCAAAGGTTCCCAGGAATAGTTAACCCATTGTTGTAAGACTGTTCCGATTGCTGAGTCGAACGCGTCTACTGCGATACTAATGGACGTTTCAGTATCCTGATGAGCAAGCATGGTTGCTTGAGCGATCAGTTCCTTAACCGTGGAGAAGGCTGTTCGCGCGGTGTCATCCAGATTGATTGATTTCGCATTTCCACGAAGTTGATCGGTAAGAGGTTTCCCAAGGGACGCGCATTTTGGTATGAACCGTCTATAGAAACTTACCAGACTGTTAAATGTGCGCAATTGCTTGATGGTGGTCGGTTCTGGGTAATCCAGAATATCCGCCACTATTGTTCTAAGGAGTCGGATGCCTTTCTCATCGATAGTGTGTCCTAGGAAGTCTAAGGAGTCAGTTCGGATTTGGCATTTCTGAATGTTTGCAGTAATGCCATGTTTTGCAGTCGGTCGAAAACAAGGTCCAGATGCTGGAGATGTGATTCTCTGTCCGGACGTGCTATTAGGCAGTCATCAACATACGAATGTGCAAATTTGAGACCCCGAAGAACGTCATCTATGAACCTTCGGAAGGTTTGTGCCGCATTTCTTAGACCGAAAGGCATTCGCAAAAATTTGTAGAGTCCGAAGGGAGTTATGATAGTGGTTTTCGGAATATCGTCAGTGGCCATAGGAATTTGGTTATACGCTTTAACCAAGTCGATTTTCGAAAAAACAGTCGTACCTTTCAAGGTAGCTGTCAAATCGTGAATGTGAGGCATTGAGGTGACAATCGGGAATGGTTTTTGCACTCAGCCGCAGATAGTCACCAGTTGGACGCCAATCGTTGCTGTCATTTATAGGAACCATGTGCAACGGAGATGCTCATGGGCTGTTTGATTGTCGTATGATTTCTAAGTCTATCACTTGGTCAAATTCGTTTTTCGCCAACCTTAACTTTTCGGGGTCTAGTCGGCGTGCTTTAGAGAATACAAGTGGCCCTGTAGTTGTGATGTGATGTGCAACGTTGCTGGTTACACACGAGCAATTTCGGTTGCGATTGGTAAATGCCAGAATACTTATCGAGTAGTGGTTGATAGATTGGGCCTATGGTGTGCTTAATTGTGACTGGAGATAACCTGCAACAAGAAAAAGAAGTCAGGCAAACAGATGAATTTGTATTTCCGTCTACTACCTCCGTTTGAGCGTATCGATGATTAAATTGTGGTGCTGTAGAAGGTCCATACCAATTATTGGAATAGAAACATCTGCAACAACAAAAATCCAGTGAATGGGTTTGCGTAAACCCACCTTAAGATAAACATACCTTTGGCCATACGTAGCGATAGGCTTTCCGTCTGCCGCCTGTAGATTTAAAACAGGCTCGTGTAGTCTGTCGTCGGAATTCGCTGGGAGAACGCTAACCTCTGCGCCACTATCGACGAGGTAGCGAACTCTCGTTATCACATCAGTGACATCCAATGTCGAAAACTTACAGATCTATTTATTTCGGGGATATATTTACTGCTACAGTGTGAAGCACTAGTCTAAAGTGAACTCGAACGTAACTACATTTGGATGACCTCGTATCAAATGTGATTAATCCTTATCATGAAGTCACTTCTAGTAAATGCAATAGTCAATGTAAGAAATATGTTTTAAATAAACCTAAATTATTTGTAAATTGTGGATATGAAGATCGCACATTATTCCATAGGAAAAGATAGTGTTGGGAAATCTAGGGTTCGGACTTTAGATATCATTGATTTAAGTACACAACTGACATGTTGATCAAATACAATCTCAGGAACTAAATGAGTTTGTTCCAATTTCGGTTAATTCCAATATTAATGAGTACATCCTAGGTCATACGGAGTCTACATCCAATACAGAGTCCAACAAACAGACGACAAACCTTAGGAGAAATACAATCGGTAGCAGAAATTTGGACTCCTATTTAAGCTGTGGTGTTTGTACGAACTAGTGATTACTTTGTACTTTATTTCCCGTTTATTACCAAGTCCAAATACAACACACTAGTTTGTGCTCATCTACCTCTATTTGTTGTAAATTGCACCATTCTGGGAATCCTCAGTTAGTACAATAATTCGAAAACTCGTAATTACCATACTTCAAAGGATTCATTCTAGAGTGTGATAATCAAAAATAATCGAATTCGCTATATTAACTAATAACTCTCAAAATGATTCTCTACGTACTCTAATGGGCACATAAAGATATATTTTGAGTTCGGATCAGGAACCTAATAACGTACTAAGGCATTGTTAATTAGCACAAACGCCAAACATCTTCAAAGAAAACTGCAGGGATTTTCTAGTTCGCCATTCAGATGTTATGAATTCGACGGTAATCTTCGTTCAGATTAGAAAATATCTTATTAAACCACTTCAAAACGGAAACTTCTAGCTACTTTCCTTGCTGCTCACGTAATTGTAGAAATACTTAACGGAAGTATTTGTAAATACCGATACTAGAATTATTTTGCTTGATTCGCTAAAGAGTTCTACCAGTTGGACTTTGTCACACATATCACAAAAGTGTGTCTAAACTACTGTTTAAACGGTTGTATGCGTATATTGGGTTACAATACTTCTAGAACATCTGAAATGGCAAACGACGATTGTTTGTTTCGAAATTCATTAGAGGCTTACCTAAATAACCAAAGGATTAGTTAATCAAGGGATTACAGGCAGTCACTTATCTCTATTTCCGTGTTCTCGTGTAACATCCTATATTTCGGATTTGAAACCTAATGTATAATCAAATCATTACTCTTGTTTTATATATGCTGAAGATAATTGAAACCGAGATTTAGCAAGACGATATGTGACTGATAAATATATCCGCCGTCTTCGTAACATCACACCATTGCTTCAAAAACTTCACTCAATATACATTAAGATACACGAACTCCATTAGCAAATAGTACCATAAACTGAAGGTACTATTGAAGTATTGATGATTAGTGCAGTCACACATCCCATATATTTAATTAATTCTATATTCTAAAAGGTCTTTACCCAGAGTTTGCACTTGTGATAATGAAACTTATTATTGACACTTCATTCTAGATGAGACGGGCCGACGAGTGTTCGCAACCAAATGACTTGGTTATGAAAATCAAATCGAATGCAAAGTTCGAAACACCACAGAAAGCTTTATTAAGACTTCCCCTAACTAAATGGTAAATGAAAGTACACCCAATACTTAAATTGTAACCGCTGATATAATTTAGATCAGTTGCACTTCTGAGACAAATGAACACCCCAAACACGACACCAATTTCAAATCAAGGATGTTATGAAATAAGTTTTCCGGCTATAATGTGAACAAAAAATGCATCTGAAGTGACACATCAGTCACGAAGCCCAAGTATCGTGTGTGGGCGAAAACACAGACGGGCGCTACATTTACTCAAAGCACTAGGTTTGAACTTGAATACAGAGCAAACGGAATTACTATTTAGTACATTTGTTCGTCTGTCTACGTCCGGTCCATCGAGTTTAACAAACCTAAAATGTTCATTCTAAGCTACCTCATCATGACTAACTACTGAAATATAATGACAACACCAGTCAAATAATGATACGTCGTCAAATTATGTTTGTACGGCGGCAAACTATTAAATTGATGTTCACCAAATCATTTCTAGAAAAAAAATGCTAATTTAATGAATAAAGAATTACAATTTAATTATAAAGTGGACACTTATACATTAATGGTAAGCATATATGCATTTTTTTTAAATCTTTATTTGCCAAAAAATTCATACGTAGAGTGACTTCGCTTAAGTCACCTCACAAATGGAGTTAAAAAATGGATAAAGGACAAATAATACAGAAACAAAATGTCACAACAATTGCTGTATTGAAATCTCGTGAAAAGGGAAAATATACCGATTGAAAACAAACAAAGTCATGGAATCATTTTTTTACAAGTGTTCACTGAGATGAGGGCGCAGCATTTTGAACAAAATTTATGGAATAGCCTTCTGATTCAGGATTCTTTTGTACTTTGAAATTGTCAGTTGATAGACCAAAAGGTTTTAAGATCAGATTACCTAACTGCTTTAATTGACCAAACATTTCCTCCTTCATTTTTTCATTTTGAATATGGATACGCTCCGGAAGGGTCTAGAAATACGTAAAACAAGAATGAGTTGCAAAATTAATAAAGACATATTTTATCTGTTACATAAGGTTTCTATCAAACAATAAAGCTTACATAGTGGGTTGAGGCGAACTAATCATTTATACAGATCTGATTTCAGATTAGAATCAAACTAGATACTCTAGTCTTTTAACCTCTCCAACTTACAAAAATAATTTACTTGAACATGATATATATTTAAGAACCTCAGTATTTAGTGAATTTTTAAAATGAACTTAGACAGTCATTGGGCCCATTTCTTGAGGACTGAGAATATCTGACTACCTAAAAGAATAAAATGGAAATGTTTTTGGACCGGCGACCCTATGGTTACTAGCTATTGCCCTAGTGTCTAGATACATTTCTACAGTGAAAACACACACAGTGAATCTATTAGAGTACAACAAAGTAATTTAAGGTATTCAGTATTTCTGCATGTTGTATGATGTTAACCACATCTCTTTCAAAAACGATACTGATACCACTCTATTATCGAAAATTAAATTTGGTTCGACATATAAATCGATGTTGTATGAGTGTTTGATTTGATAACTTTATTTAAAAATATGAGTAGAACAGATTGACTACAGTATTAACACCGATTAGGAGTAGAATATTAAAAACTACTACATAATCATCAGGTCAACCCTCCAAAAAGGGTAGAAAAATTAAGATAGAAATAATCATCTATGCTTTAGACCGAAAAAACTCGAAAGGATGCTTTTTTATGCAATTTTTAATTATCAGTTATCAATGCTAAAAGAAACATTGCCACAGATTTCATCACACACCAAACCACAAGGGCTGATGAGACTTCCAAGATAAAAATCACTTAAAAGAAGAACATCCATAATCAGATTCTGATAAAAATCAAATTATTTCGAATTATTGACATTTTCCTCCTCCACGGAATATTGTAGGATTTTTTCGTAGTAAGATGGATAAACTCCGGGCTATCTGGACATGCTTAACATTTAATCTCTAGTCATTGTGATCCGTTCGTTTTCTGAAAACACTATACGCTGCTGTAGTACGTTCATATTGGCATTTCTTAAAAGTAGTTAACATATAATAGAGTCAGTCAGTCAGCTGCAACGTAGGACCAGGCACGTATATGCATCGGTCCAAGTTGCCATACCGCATTAGCACAACAAGATCAACACCGGATTCATAGGAGTAGTTAATTCAGTGGTGGTAATATATAGAAGATTGTGTATAAGGAGATAGTAAAGGAAGAAAGAATTAGTTCCTAGACAGATATGAAGCGATTTTAATCTCTTGATTTAAGGAAGACAGAGAGTGTATACACCGACGCCATTGTGATCGATTCTGAGCCATGTCACCAAGAGTCTCCAACCATTGGTTACGATAGTCACTTGGACCCCAACCAAGTAGTCTGCATCTACCAACATGGCTCAGACCAGAAGTTACTGACTTCAAGCACTGATGCCACGTTTTGGTTTGGCCGCCATAGATGACGTAAGTTGGCGAAAGCCAAACGAGCTTTTCGAATCCGTGCTGAGATTTCGTCAGACACCAACCCATTAGGGCTGATCAGACTTCTAAGATAAGTGAAGTTGTCAACGCGTTCGACTACTTCACCCCCTATCCTCAGTTCAGGTGTTGACGCAGACCAGTCCTGAAGCAACAACTTGCATTTGGAGGGAGAGAAGCGCATCCCAAACATTCTGGCATTGTTTCTCAGTGCTACCAAACGAATCTGCATTTCATCAGCGTCTTCACCAAACAGGACTATGTCATCTGCGTATTGTAATCGATAAGTGGACCTCCTGGTAGGAGGTCAATACCCGAGAATTCAGTCGATGAGAGCGTTATTTCCATCAGTAGATCTATGATGAAGTTAAACAAAAATAGAGAAAGTAGACAGCCTTGGCGGACGCCACTTGAGGTTGCGAAAGCAGATGACAATTCGCCATAAGCTCTGACCCGACTAGTAGTGTTCGAGTAAAGAGCCTTCACAAGGTGTATGTACTTCTGAGGTACACCTTTTGATGACGGACACTGCCACAGAACCTCTCGGTCAACAGAGTCAAACGCTGCTTTTAAATCAAGGAATACCACTATTGTCGGACGCCGATAAGTATGAATGTGTTCTAGAACCTGACGAATGGTGAATATGTGGTCGATGCAGCCACGACCAGGTCTGAAGCCAGCCTGATTTTCACGTGTTTGCAGTTCACGAGTCTTAGTTAGGCGTCCGAAAATTATCGAGGTTAGTATTTTAGATATTATATTAGTTAAACTAATCCCTCTGTGGTTGTCACAGGATGATTTTGACCCTTTCTTAAATATTGGGACGATAAGTGATTGTGACCAGTCAGAGGGGATTACGTCTAACTCCCTGATTTTAGCTAAAATATTAGTCAACCTAATCGCTAAGACTAGACCACCATCCTTAAAGACCTCTGGGGCCAATCCATCTGGACCAGCTGCCCTTCCTCGTTTCAGATTAGCTATAGCCTTTTGAACTTCAGCTAGAGTTGGGGGACCTACTTCAATGTTCCATTCACACTGTCTGGGAATAGAGGGTAGTTGTAGAGTAGCTGAAGGCCAGCTAAACTGCTCCTTAAAGTGTTCCGCCCATCGTTCTAAGCGTCCGGACTGGGAGAAGATGAGAGTGTCGTCTTTTTCCGAAATGGTCTGACTTACACTTGATTTATTAATTCCAGTTTCTTCTATTAGTCTGTAGAGTTGTCTTGTGTTCCCTATAGCCGCCGCCTTTTCCATCTCTTTTGCTTTCGTTGCCCACCACTGCTCACGATCATTCTTTAGACTTTTGTTTAACCTAGATCTGATTTCTTTACGCTCTTCATCGTATTCAGAACCTGATGGGATGAGTTTGCGAGAATCTATCAGTGCAATAGACCTTGAAGAAATCCATTGGTTCTTTGTAACCCTGTGGTTTAAATCACTGGTAGATGTCACTACTGTTTCCGCAGCTGCTTGTATAACTTTCCAAGCAACATCTGGGTCAGCTTCGTTTTCAGAACTACCTAAGTGTGATCTCAGTTGTTCCTGGAACCTACTTTTGGTTTTCTCATTACTCGATTCGGTTCTAATGAGTCTTTTTTGTGTGGCTCTTTTGCGTCCAGTGAGGCGCAAGCAGATGCGTGCTCGTACTAGGGCATGATCAGAGTCCAAGCAGGTACCCCAGAATGAGCGACAATCTTCTATTGACCCTCTCCAACGATGACTGATGGCAATATGGTCTATTTGAGTCCATCGTTGGTTTGGTGCAGGGGGTCGCCATGTCAGGCGATGTCTCTCCTTATGCTTAAAATTTGTGTTTGCTAAAAATAAACGATTGTCTGAGCACAGTTGCAGCAGACGATCACCATTATCTGTTCGCTGTGCTGGAATACTAAAATACCCATCTAAATGTCTTTCTGTTTGGTTTAAGCTACCTACCTGGGCATTAAAGTCACCTCCTACGAGTACTATGTCTGAACGTTTAGCTTTCTGAAGAAGTTCAGACAGCTTTCTGTAAAATTCATCTTCACTTCATCCGAAATGCAGTCAATGGGAGCGTTGGCAGAAACGACGGAAAAGCAACGACGTGTGTCCCTATCCTTTCGAGTTCTTACGGAGCCGTTTAGCCGAACAGCGCATAGACGACTATTAACGGGGATCCACTCTAATAGCGCTTGTTCCGCCCTCATGCTTAGTGCTATGCCTACACCTGCCAGTCCACGAGAACTAGCCATCGAGTCGCCAGATACACGGAGGGTGTATCTCGTTGGCTCTCCGTTTTGCCGAGGTGAGGTCAAGTGAATGACCACGCTAGGATCCTGTATGCGTGTTTCGGAGACACAGCATACATCAATGGTACGAGATTCTAAGGTTTTAGCCAAGGATGCCTGCTGACCGATTTGGCATAGCGTGCGTACGTTGAAGGCTCCGATGTGTGGTTTGGAGCGAGGTTTCAGTAGACCTGGGACAGTGTTTTGAGCACTAGAATCGTTGGCTGTGGTGACACTTGAAGAGGAAGCCGAAAGAGGGAGTTTAGATTTGAAAGTCGATGTAGGAGGAATAATAGGAATTGAAGAGGGAGGTTGACTATGAATACAGTGGTCTTGAGTGCTGTTAGAGGTATGAGGGCGGTTATCACTTCCCGGTTGCCCACACCGTGGAAGGGTTCTTCTGGAGGTACCTGAAAAGTTAATTGGATTAGAGGTGGTCATAGTGACCTGAGAGCGTGACTGCAGTGCCCAAGGGACAGCTGCTTGAGGTCGGTCACACACGACCTTTTTTATGAGTATTTTTTGTGTTAGCTCCGTACTTGTTGAGTCCTTACCGCCGGAGACGGATATCCGTGGGATAAGGTGAGGTGTGCATTTTTAGGGTCGACCTTTTCTAACCCCACCCCTTCTTGTGGGAAGGCAGCATCGCTGTCATGCTGGTTGTCTGAAGGAAACACCTTACTGCTGTCACACCTCTGTACAGTCAGCAGTACGACTTCGCCTTCGGACCTTGGTTTTGTTGCTTTTAGTCTTACCGCTCTTCAACGGACCTGTCTGGCACGGTAAGACCTTGAGGAACGGTTGTTCCAGCCAATATAGCTCAGTTGCTTCATCACGATAGGCGAGCCCGACCACCACGTCAAGGTAGCAACAACGGTCAGGTAACATATAATAGAAAATGTGTTTAATTATGATTTTTTCCATAGTTCCTGATTTTCCATACCATTTGGTTCTTGTACCATTCGAATGTGGAAAATCATTCTGTTGTAAGCAGCTTTCAACTGAGGTTTTCATAAAATCCCATTTAAAAATATAGGATAACATAGTGTCAGTTTTTGAGTGCTCATACATTCGTGGTCGTTTATCTGTCTAGCGAAAGTTTGATAAATTAATAACTTTTTTATGTGAGAGGATAATAATTACTGATTGTTCATTTTAATAGTTTATGTACTAACTTGTTATTTCTAGTGGCCAGAATGTTGATATCCTATCAAACTGGAAAT